AACATTATGCACTCCATACTGTACAGTAACGCCACTGTTTTGCACATGTCTCACTCTGTATATTTTTATATATTTTATTTATTGTTTACTCTATTTAATCTGTAAAATATGTGTATACACACACACACACACACACACACACACACACACACACACACACACACACACACACACACACACACACACACACATACACACGGTTTCCATCATGTCACAGAACAAAACACTGACTTATATTCATGTCCTAGAGATGTAACCGTAACTAATAAATAAACTAGCCTTAAACTTGACCCTAAACATAACTTAAGTCTTAATACATAATAAAAATTTGCATTATAAATCTTCACAAGGCGAGATATACTGCACGTACACACTAGCACAATACAGTACAGGAAACACACATGGGAGGGGAGATTTCACTTCAGTGTCTATGCGCTGTTGCTGATGATGTTTATATCTGTGGTCATAGTCCAAAAATTGTCTTGGCGAGCTACGCCCAGTGAGTCGGACACCACCTTGTCGACAGGGGACTGAGCTGTAGTAGGGGCTAAAAAAAAAGCTCTAAATAAGTCAAACTGTTGACTTGTTGACAATGAAAGGGTCGCAAATTGTGCATGAGTAAAGGTAACTGAGTCATCCAGTCTTTATTAGTTGGTTAACAACAGAAAGAAGACCCTTTATTTCTTTCTCTTTCATCCAGGCTTTCTGAGAAATGTTTTTCGCTTGTTAAGCTACTTAACATTGACTTATGAATTATTCAAGCTTAAAAATTTCACCCAGCTCAAGGGATGAACCAGTGTTGTGTCTACACATAACAGAGAACTTAGCAAGAAAACTATTTCAAATTGTATCTTGAGGTACTTTGAGCCGCATGTCACGAAAGCACATGAATTATTCCCATTTTTTTTAACTGAATCTAAATGATTATACGGTTTGACGGGATTAAAATAGGATTTTACTGTGATAGACAGTTTGGAGCGCGCCCTTAAAAAAAAGAGAAAACTGGAAGAAGAAGTGTCTTAAAAACTATCAGCAGCAGACAAAATGTGTCTGAAAGACATTTCCTGAAGAATCAGAGAATAATTCAGCAAAGATTTGACGCAGGAGCTGAGAGATGCATGTGGCCCTTTAGCTGATCCATCTACTGTTCACTGATGCCTCATCAGAAATGGTCATAGTGGAAAGGCGGCAGACAAGAAGTAATTCTTAAGAAAGGGAAACAGGAAGAAAAGGCTGGCGTATATGACGCTATACAGGAACTGAAAGTGGAATGATGAATCAAATTTTCCTTCAAGAAGCCTGGAAAACTGTTCCTGAAGACGATTTAGAGATATTACAAGAAAGTCTGCCTAAGAGAGTTCAGACTGTGTTGAATGAAGAAAGGTTGTGGCACTAAATACTGACTTTCAAGCTTGTTATATTTATGTAATCTCTGCTTTTGCTTTATATACTTAATTCCCATTTTTCTAGTAAAATATAAAGAAATAAAGGGGGCTCAAGACTTATGCACGCGACTATAAATGAGGTGTAAGATGTGTTTGAAATGATAAAATAGACATCATCAGCTCTTTTTATCTTTCAGTGTATCTTCACAGCATTCTGAAAAACCACACGGCTCATGCTTGTGAAGGAGAAATTCTCATCATCAAGTGTCCCTCCAGGACGTCTGTGGCCATCCTATCAGCCTTCTATGGACGCCGTGTTCCCAGTCAGCATTTATGTCCTCCTGCAAGCACAAACACAACTGCGGGGGAGGACACAGAGTGCACTTCCTCAGTTGCTATCGAGGTACACATAGCAACATTGACATAAACTGTGAACTCACTGCATAATCTGCCTTAATCAAATGCTCTTATGGGCGACTCCTGTTGAAGATAACAGTGGTCCACATGGATTTTCCTGTGCTTGTAGAAAGTGCTGTCAGAGTGTCAGGATCGGCGGTCGTGCCACATTCCCGTCTTAAGTCCGGTGTTTGGCCAGGATCCCTGTCCCCTCACCACCAAGTACCTCCTAGTCTCCTACAAGTGCAGACCAGGTGCACTACTGAGCTGGACAGTCCAGTCACTTCACCACTAGCGAACACATGACTTTTAAATTTATGTTAGCTAACTGACAAAGAAAGACTCCATCACATAATTTGTGCATAATAAAAGGTGTGCAAAAAAACTATCAATAAGAGGGGCCTTGGCTTGAAAAAAAGAACTGCACAGTAAAGTTCTTAAAAAAAAAAATCTATTAGCATATAAAGCTGGTAAATAAAATCTTTTTTCTTTCATTTTTTCTATAATTAAGAAATCGTCTTTAAATTATTATTAGTTTAAAATATCTTATTTATGTCTTTTGTATGCTCACAGACATCTAAAACGTAATAAATATAACGGTAACTTAGAAAAGAGGAACTGAACTTGGTATCATTTAGAGTTTCTGTAATATTCTTCCTCAGTCAGCCTCTGGTTTCAGGCCTGTTAAGCAAAACATAAAAAGGAACTTACATTTTTTGGGGGTGTTTTCAAAAAAACGGGCAGTCACACATAAAACACAAAACTGTACATTGAAACTTTTGCATTCCAAACTGAAGTGCATGTAAAGTCTGAGTTACATAAAATTAAGTGGGAGTCTTCTAAAATTGTGATTGTAGCTTTTAAACAAAGCCACACAATCAGTCCACTAGTGACTCTTATAGTCTCACATCAACTTCATATGCACTTTGACATATATTGTCGCATTAAATCACCTCTTCTATAATAGGTTATGACTGGATTTGCAATAATCAGCTTGAACAGGAGGAATAATAAATAAATAATAAATGTCTAACATATAGTAACAGCCTTTTTAACGTGTTTCCCTTCCTTATTACTGGGTCAGGCCAGGGTCACGTCTTTCCTGGATTTTTCCCTAATTCTTAAGAAATGACTTTCAGATACTGTTCATCTGATGTCCATAGCTCATAGATTAGTGTTAAGTAGCTTAAAAGACAAAAACAAACAAACAAAAGCCATCGTCTCAAAAAGAGTGGGTATAAGGAATGCTTAGAAAATGAGTGAAAAACCAGCTAATGTCCAAAGACCTTCAGAGAACCTGGAGAACTGTTGCTCAAGACTACTTTGGAAAAAAAAACTGGCTTGAAAGCTAAATATAAAAAAAATGCAGGGTAGCTTGAGTCATTTACATAGCTCTCTAAACAGCTGTCAAACAAGGTAGTAAACTTTTGAAATAATAACAATGAATGCTTTCAGCCATCAGATTTTCTTAAAACAGCTACAGAAAGTTCTTGTCAACTTTTAGATGTTCTTCAAAATGTGCCATTTCATCTGTTTTTCAGAGCACCACCGCACACGACTGGTGTGCGAAAATGAGCGTTTGAGGCTGATGTGTAAAAATGAGACTGTCATCGCAATCTACTCTGCCTCATTTGGACACCTGCTGCACGGCAGTCCTCACTGTCCTCAGGAACCTGGATCAAAGGCTGACATGGGTCTGCAACAGCAGGGGGCTCAAGTGCCATCTAGTGGCAAAAAAGTGGAGCTAGAGTCCTGTATAGACATGATGGAGAATTACTACTGTACTGTATTTAATCATTCATATAAATAGGAATTATTTATTCATATTCATTAATTTCTAGGTGCTCAGGTTTTAGAGAAACAGCTTTTCTTTAACAATAAAATGTTACTGTTGTCTTCTTCGTTACAATCATTGGTTTCATTTATATTAAATTATTTCAGAGTGTTTGTCTCCGGCGGCCCTGAGGAAAGTGTCACGCAGGTGTCACAGCAGAGCAAACTGTTCACTAATAGCCGATACTCGAACCTTTGGGGACCCGTGCTTCCCCGGCACCAGGAAACACCTGCGGGTGTCCTTCACATGTGGTAAGTGACAAATCTACACCTACTCTTTTTTTTTGGCTTGGATGTAGATGCATAGTATATTTTCTGTATTTGCATACAGCTGCGTATTGTGACAGTGTTTCATTTCCTCTTTAGTCCCCAGATATCTCCTAGAAGATGTGGGTCAAGGTCCAACAGATCCTTTCATGATCTCAGATTACACACACGGTGAGTGTGAAAACGAACGTTCACAGGTTTCATTGCATGCAGCAGACTTTGACTGGCTATTGAGCCCAGAACCCTCTCGCCTGCAGGTGGATGGTACACTGGCCCCACCTACAGGCCTCAAAATGTGTTCTTAACCAACTCTCTGGAGATCTTTGACAAAATACTGGGTATGTGTACTGATGCCTGTGGATGTCAGGCTACAGCCACATATATAGAAATGTCGGTGTTCAAGCACGTTGGTGGACACAGTCGAGATACTGAGCTCCAAAACGACATGGAAAAATTAGAAGAGGTGTTGAATAAAATGAAATGTATTGTTTTTAATTTGATTTAGAGTAACTGGAAGCCCTTATATACCACCTGTCTATTTTCTCAATTGCTTATCTAGCCTAGTGTTGCAGGGGCTGACATATATCTCAGCCGTTACAGATAGAGATGTATGATACTGGACTGACATTCATATAGCACTTATGTACTATTTACTGGCCACTTTAAACCACAATCCACATTTACTCTTTATTCTGCTCACTTTATGCAATTCATTTACCTCACGTCCACAGCCAATTTACACTCACCAGTTAACCTGATATGCATGTGTTTGTACTGCTGGAGAGAATCCACACAGGCACAGCAAGGACATGCAAATTCCACACAGGAAGGCTCCAGCCAGCCTCTGCTTATCAGTGTGCCAGCCACTTGTCTGTGCTGATAAGTAGTAATCTAAAATTTGCGTACATATTTCTGTATTATTTCCATTTTCCAAATCATATAATTATTAGCTTATTATCTTTAAAAATAACTTTTCCTAATTTCAGTCTATTTCTTTCCTTTCAGTTTATTATGACATGTTATATTTGGACATATTAAAAAAAACAGTTATGTTTGTTCCCTTGGATCATACATTAACCTGCTGGTGGAAAATACAAATATTAGCCATTATGTACTCTGACTAAGATAAATAATCATATATGGTTTTTGCAGGGATGATCCTAATCCAGAGCCAATGCTGCGTCTTTGGTTTTACAATACTGCACAGCCCAGGAAGATTTTTCAGCTAAATCAGTTTCTAACATTATTAATTTAAATAGAAAAAAAATATCGATAAAAGTATTTGGATATTTGAACTGAAATAGGAGCACTTGCAAATAGATTTTGATACATTACTCACATGAAATGAATTTACTGGTTTCTTTGAAAGGTCACACCTTGTATTAATAGTGTTTTCTAAAGCAATTTGAGAAAGATGAGCTGAGTGGACACTTGTGGCTTATGTTGGCAAATTTTTAATTTCCTCGCACATCTCTCTTCCAGGTCTCCCAGAGCGAGTTGCTCTCTACTTTGTCTCCGGCATCTGTGCTGGTCTCGTGTTCCTGCTCTGCCTGTTTGGTGTTCGCTCCACACTTGTGAAAGACGTTAAAGATCTGGTTTCTGACCTGAATGATGAGCTGAAAGCATCTCGCAGACGACGCAAGGAGCTCATGGAGGACCTCTTTGAAGAGGATGTCTCTGACACATCTTCTTTCCGCCGCCTCACACAATCCTACCGGACAACTGACGTCCTCAGTCCACCCACTTTAACAGTAGAGATGGTTGAGTGGGAGGAGGAACACACTAGGGATCTGCCCAATGGAGACATTTGGCCACACAGAGACTCCAGCCCTTACGCTATTCACAAGATTAAAACCTACAACAATTGAGAGTAAAGCATCAGTATACTGCATTAGAACGATAGTTGCTAACTGAAATCATACTGAGATAGTGCTTTTACTGTAAATTGGACCTATTATGCTCATTTCCAGGTCCAAACTTTCACTCCTCTACTCTTCTAGAGGAGCTTTGCATGACTCAAAGTTCAAGATAATCCTTATTTATCTTGAGCTGGGTCCTTAGTTCATTCACAGTCTGAAACGAGGCATATGAACTCCTCTTCCTCCAAGCCAACTTTCTTCTGATTGGGTGCCCCTCACAAACTCAAAGCTTAAGCATTAGGTGGTTGGTTCCTAAGTGCCAGAGATGAATTAGGGAAGTCCCCAATCTTTGACATTAGGCAAAGCCAAGAGTAGAAAATAAAGTCTGAATTTGAGTGTTTAGAACAGCCTGAAGGGAACCTCTTGTACATACAATAACCTCATTATTTAAAACCAGTTTAACCTGAACAGTAATGAGGTATATGTGACAGAAAATAAGGGAAAGGATGATAGCTTCTCTCTAAATGTAACTGAACCTCCTAATCTGTCTCAATGCATGATGACACTACTAAAATACATGAAAACCTAATGGTGGTTGATTACAATCATAAAGATTAACATCACATGTTTGTTGTTTCAATTAATTTCAAATGCTGCTGTGTTTTATGGAATAACAGTGGACGTGCCACTGATTTAACTTTAATAACTTCAATGCATTTTTGCGGTTACAATATGGAAAACCAGTATTTTCAGTGCACTGTGTGACTAATAAATCATTGGGTGACTTAATGCCATCTTTAATGTTTCATTAAAACGTACAAAAATAAAGCTGCTCTTTTGTGGGGGAAACATTTCATATTATTGCTGAAGGATGGAGAGTTAAATGTAGAACAGTGCAAAACCAAATCCTCAAAAATAAATATATAAATTGAATAATTTCCAAATATCTACTAACAACTATATTTTGATTCTTTGTTAAATTTTTGTGCCTTTTTGGATTGATAAAAGTGATTATATCTGATTAACTGATAGAACTACAACACAAAAGTTGTGCAAAAGTCCTGACCCACCATTTATTTCTTTATATTTTGCTTATAATTTTTTTGGTCTAAGCAATTGTTCTCCAGGCTTTCTGAAGGTCTTTCAAAGATTTTCTTTTCACTTATTTTTCTTCCAGCTCTTGTACCTGACCATCTTTAGAGGGATGTTTTTTGAGGCATCATCAGAAATGTCTCAATGGTGTTGGTGGTCACAATTTATGAAGTCATGAATGCAATTGTACATGAATTGCACAAGTAGCCTGGAGAACTTTAAAAAGGTTTTATGATGAAAAAATAGCCTGATATCAGATATTGATTAGTGGGTAGAGGGGTTTAAAAGTCTGGATCCAGGAAATGGAAAAACATACTCAAAGTCTTTGCACAATTGCTCTCAGAAATACATCAGCTGAGGAAAGTATGGGATCAAATTGTGGTCATAAATATTTTGTACTTTTAAATCAGAATGTGTATATATGTGCATCTGTAGATAAGAATTTGTGTGTGTGTAAAAAGAATTTGTGTGTGCGTAGAAAAGATTTGGGTGTGTAAAAATATTTACACAAGTTACAAATTCTTTTTGTTAAGATCTGGTTACAGATACAAAGGAAAAAAAAAATACGTGTGAAACTCAAGTTTTAACTTACAAGTACGAATTTTGACCCGATTTTTCTTCCTTTCAGCTGATCAATGTCATATCAGTCACAAATTTAACTATCCAATCAGAGAACAGAATTGCAGTACTCACTGCAGTTTTGTAAGTACAAAACCGATCAAAAAATATTTTTGACCACAATTTGAGCCCACAGGGAAAGAATCAGTGTTTAAACTGTGAGTACAGTTCAGCTGAAGTCATTATAATCCTTAAAATCACAGTCTGGGATGAATGAAAAGACTGTTGGTGAAACTGCTCTATCACATGACAGACTGCTTAATTTGAAGGGGTCACAAGTCAAAGCGGATGAAACCCACCCCCACCCCATTTCGGCACATAGCTTGTTCTGAAGACTACTAGCTTTATCCAAATATGTGGTACCTTGTTGTATTTTTATTATATTTATTTTTTGCATCGTTGACTCACTGGCATTATGCCTCTGTAATAATAATGTCATTATAGGTTAATAATGAAGTGAAGGTGGTCAATTTTCTCCAAAACTAGGACACCCCTCAGTTTTAGCATGTAGGTAATACTTTATTTGACAAGAAGCACTCCAGGAGCACAAACCTCCACCAAAGCAGGGCACTCTCTGGGAAGTGTTTTTTTAAAGGAATAGTATTGTATTTTGTGTATATTCATTTTGGGGGTTTTGTTGTTGTTCATTTAACACATACGTTACAAAGTTTGTAGTGTAAGAGTAGGTAATGGCTGATCGTATTGATTTGACTTGAGCTTATTATATAATACTACATACTATAGTATATTCTAACTAACTAGGCAGCTCATTTTCTTTCTCTTTAAAAATACTTTATTTAAAGATATAACACACCTTCAGTTGTTGTGAAATGTAAAACTGATCAGAGGTCAAATGTGACTGATGTTTGAATGTAAACTGTACTGTGATATTTAGAATCACCATTTACTTGTATCCTTTCCTAAATTTTGCCAGTACAAACACAGAATTTTATGTAAAGTTTTAAAGATAAAAGACAGTATAAGTTTGATCTTATTTGAACTGGAAAATGAGGTCTAATATTTAGAATCCCTATATTTCTATATGTTGTAAATTAAACCAATGGCATTAAGAAACATAGTTTTAAATAGTTCTATAGCAATATTACTTTGACGTGAAAATCAGTCTATTTAATTAGAGCTCGGAGGTCAAATTTGACATATTCTAAATCTTTATATGGCCATTTTTAAATATGGTTTCTCGGTTTTGACAAGTAAATCATCAGCGAAGGATGCAGGCCAAATTTGAATGGATTGTTTAGATGACCACGCAACACACTCCTACAAATTTTATTAGAATTAATTCAAAAAAATTTGAAACTATCGTTTAAAAGGAGAAGGAAACGCGTAAAAACACTGCCAAAAAACACATAACCTCCTTGGTGGCGGTAATATTAAAAAATGTAAAAGCGATTGTATTAGTTACACCTCATCCCTATTAATGTGGGACAAAACACCTTCCGGACATCTTTAATCCCCCAAAGAGGATGTGTGAAGCTGGAAAGTTAATTATATGCAGATAATATTGTTTTACCACACGATGTCGCAGGGTTTTCATTATATGTGTCAGGGCTGGGAGGCTTACTCACTTAGCATTGCACTCCGAGGCAGAAGATGGCGTCATTAAGCTCATACTCGAAACCAACTGCCGCAAAAAACCAGGACGATGAGTCCTTAAACAGGGTGAGGAGCGGCAGGAGGAGGGAGCCCACCACATATCAAACTCTGTGCTGTAGCATATGCGGCTAAATCATAAAACTGCCAGCTAAAGCTATGTAGCCTGTGCAACCTGCTCTCTGGCATTGACGGGGACACGAGAAGAGCCGGGGTTTTCTTCTTTCTTTTTAAAGTTTCTAACTGTGATATTTTTAATACTATCCGGGAACAGCAGCAGCAGCAACAACAACAACAACAACACCATCAGCTGGCGTTTAGCATTAGCAGCCAAGCTTCCCGGAAGGAGGCCGCAGCGCCGGGTGGAGGTTTAACTTTCCCTGCCCTGACGTCCGCACCGAAGTGATATAAACCCAAATGATAAACTGATATTTATTTCCTCCCGGTAAGAATGGATTCCTCTTTGGGGATATGCAGCGAGGAATGCTTGGCAATATCCTTTCTGAGTTATGGTATTTTTTGTTTTGTTTTTTTTTTGCTTTAGCTTGTTGGCTAACGTTAGCTTTTAGTGAAGCCCATTAGGCAACGTTAGTAATTCAGTAATATGGAGATATTCAGTAACCGTGCACTTAAATAATCATGTTATAAAGTAGCTACAGCTCACTTTTAATCCAGTTCATTGCTAACCGCACAGATATATGCACAGTGTCATGCAATTAACGCTAATTAAAATCACTTGTACAGAATAACGTTGACCATCCTTACACCTTTACATCCTTAAGCTAAAAATATTACCTGCACTGGCACCAGCAAACCCAGCATCTGCCGTGCTTTGTCCCACCTCCTGCTGTTTTCATTTATAACCTTAAGTTGCCCACCTTTTAACTGGCATGGCTTGTTCTAACCTTTCGGAGTATCTGTAGTGTAATCTCAGTTTACAAAGCCTGGCGTGACAGTCACTAGTTTCTCATTCTCAGTCACAATAATTCCTTGATTGTGCTGCTCACACTGTAAAATGCCTGGAGCTGAGGTCTGGCCAGAAGGAGCCCAGACTCCTGTCACTAATTGAACGCGGTGGAGAGTTTATGTAAGTATCAATGAGCCAAATGACTGAAAAACAATGTGATTTTTGTCAAGCAGTAGATAAACTTATTGAGAACCATAAGTAGTGGTAATGAGTTGTCAAAATAATTTGAACACTCTTAGGCATTTACTGCAGCACCCTAGGTTTGTGAGAGCTCGTAAAGCTGTGGTTTGTAGCATATCTGAGGTGTCTGCCCAACTCTGGGTTTGTCTTTTATGTTTCCTCCTATCTCTGACCCACAGTTGCTGTGATATCGGCATGGTTCAAAATACACTCTGTTAGGTCAGAAAGGTGTGTGCTGTGATAGCGTCACACTGAGTACTTGGCAGGATGATGGGTAATTATATAGTTTAACTGGCCACTTGGTTAGGTACTAATAATATGGCAGTAACTCAGTGCATTTAGGCATGTAAATATGGTCAAGAAACCCTGCTGAAGTTCAAACTGAGTATCAGAACACGAAAGAGAGGTTATTTATGTGACTTTTATTGTAGTGTGGTTGTTGGTGCCTGATGGGCTGGTCTGAGTATTTTAGCAACTGCTAATCTACTGGGATTTTCCAGCACAGTCATCTTTAGTGTTTACAAAGTTTGGCCTGAAAAAGAGAAAATATCCAGTGTGCTGTAGTTCTGTGGGCAAAAGTGCCTTGTCACAAGTCTGAAGGGAATGGCCAGACTGCTTTTAGCTCACAGGAAGGCTGCATTAAGTCAGATATCCACTCATTACAACAGAGAGCTGAACATCATTTACACACCACAGCCTTCCTGCATATTGTTGCTGACCATGGCCACCCTTTATGAATATAGTGTATTCATCTTCTTATGGGTGTTTCAGGCAGGATAGCAGACCATGTCACAAAACTCAAATCATCTCAAACTGGTTTATTTAACATGGCCGTGAGTTTACTGGTACTCAAATGGCCTCCAAAGTCACCAGCTCTCAATCCAATAGAGCACCTTTGGTATTTGTTGGAACAGGAGGGTTGCATCATGGATGTGAAGCTGACATATCTGCAGTAGCTGTGTGATACTGTCATGCCAATATGGAGCAACAATTTTCCAGCATCTTGTTGTGTCTGTATATAAAGAATTAATTTTGAAGACAAAACTGGGTCTAGCCAAATATTTGCAAGGTGTTCCTAGCAAAGGGCCTGTTGAGTGTAGTTGGATTATCTTTTTAGGGTTGGGCGTTATCTAACCAATAGATCTTGCAATAAGAAAAGGAAAATGATGCATGGCTATAAGGAATCATCTGAGAAGTGCTCTTCAGTGGGGCAGGAAGAAGTACAAAGAAAAATAATCCAGGAATAATTGATAGATTTTATGTGGTACATGTAATCATAAATAATTACTGTCTACCTTCAGGTAAAATGATAAGATAAGACTTACTTAAAAGTAGGGGAATTCCTGTCTCAGGCTTTCTCATGGTCCCTGATTTGATTTGACCTGAGAGAGTGCCTCAGTATGTTTCTGTTTCTATGTTTTCACTGTAAAATATCTATCCAGATTTCCTGGATTTTGTTCTTTGTAGATTTTATAGTTTCCTAGGCTAAATGTAAAAAACAAAACAAATGCAACATAACATAGTCAGAAATTTTTAGTGTCAGATGTCATGCAGCACAGCTAAAAGAGTGAATGCTGCAGTTTGAGTGAGTCTT